TATTTTATAATTACCATTATCAGTCCACAAGAACTTTTCATATACCTAAGATTTTTATCCCTTCAAGAAGTATCTCATCATTACTCATTAGCTACTTCCAACTGTGTTAAGGAACATCAAATAATATGAAAATGAAAGAATGAAGGAAGATGAAACAGGGAAATTATTGCAGTTTTAATATTGTATTTCCCAAATATTGAAACATCTTTCAAGCTGATATAAAAGTCTAGAGACTTTAATTGAATACAATTGAAAATCAAAAATTTTCATTTTCCACATTGGCAAATGGGAGAAAACTGACAGGAAATATTTCACAATTACCAGACAAATCAGAAGATGAATGAAAATGGTCACATAAGTAAAACCTCAGACCATCAATCTTCAGATGATGATATCCTAGATAAATTTTCTCCAGCTCACGAACTAAAAGTGAGCAATGTATTTCTAAGAACGAAAAGGAAATACAATACTCTATGTCTACTTAGTCATCCAACAGGAAGCACGACATCATTCAATATTTTGCAACAAAAACAAGAACTATTGCTGCAATTGCTAAAAAAGACGTGTGACAGTATTCTTTCCTCTTTTACGATGCTTATGCAACAAATTTTATGATGTTTGTGCAAAAAGAGTTTTTGGATATAGGTTCAGGTCACACAGGTGTTGATAGCAGCTTTATTCATAATTGCTAAAACTTAGAAGTAATCAAGACGCTCTTCAGTAGGCGAACGGATAAAGAAACTGTGGTACATTCAGACAATGGAAAACTATTCAGCCCTATAAAGAAATTATTTATCAAGCCATGAAAAGACATGGGGAACTTTAAATGCATATTACTAAGTAAAAGAAGCCAATCTGAAAAGGTTAAATATCATATGATTCTAACTATATGACAATCTGGAAAAGGTAAAATTATGGAGATAATAAAAAGATCAGCAGTTGCCAGGGGTTGGGAGCATGGGAGTGATGAAGAGGTGGAGCACAGAGGATTTTTAGAGGAAACACATTGAAAAGATTCTGTGTGACAATATAAAGATGGATACATGTCATTATATATTTGTCTAAACCCATAGAATGTACACCACCAAGAATGTACACCACCAAAAGTGAACTGTAATGTAAACTATGGATTTTGGGTGGTTATGATGTATAAATGTTTCAGTTCATCAATTATAATAAATGTACCACTCTCGTGGGGGTTGCTGATGATGGGGCAAATTAGGCATGTGTTGAATAGGAGGTATATGGGAAACCGCTATACCTTCTGTTCAATTTTGCTATGAACCTAAAACCACTCTAAAACAAAAGTCTTAAATAAATAAATACAAGAAAGGAGGAGGTGGTGATCAAGAGTTCAGATAGAACATACACATAAGAGGGAGAATGGGAAACAAAAAGGATGGATGAAGGTACAGAGAGCTGTTGAAGTAGAGGAGAAAATTCATAATGTATTCAACCAACATGTATCGAGAGCCTACAAAATGCTAGGTACCATGAAATTCACAATGGATGATGAAGAAGGGGTCACCTGTGGAGCATGAAGGACAATGATGCTAGGAACCAAGAAGAATGGGGTTGGCTATGTGGAAGGTGATAGGTCATCAAGTAATGAGAATTAGGTGCATCTAGTAACATTAAGATCCCAGCTGATGTTACAGCATGAATAAGAAATGGAATTAACTGGTAAGGTTACATGACATGATACATCAACCTTAGAAAACTCAGAAGAAATTAAAGGGACAAATTAACTTCTCCTAGATATGGACAAATTAACTGACAAAAATACGTTTGGAAAATGTGAAGGATATCAACAAGTCCAGAACATTCAAATATGTAAAAATGATTATCTGTTGAGCCCATTCTGTTAAAAAAGAACAAAAAAAGAGGATAATAGACTAAAAGCCTGAACTGGGAGGTGATTATGAGGGAAGGGTGAAATTTAGTAGTAACTGATGAGTGTTTTAGGTGTAAGATCAGACGATTATGGTCAGAGAGGAATGTCAAAGCTGGAAACCCTATGGGTGCAGTATTTCTAAGTGATGACAGAATCCAAGGGATGACTGTGTTGCAGAGAGCAGAAATGGAACATAAATGAAGGTGACTAGAAGGAGATGGCTAGCATTTCAAATGCACGTCAACTTGGATGCGGATATAACTGAAGACAGAGATAGGTAGTGTGACCATATGACCTCATTTGTCTGGGTCCTTTAGTTTATGACTGTGGTCCTAGCGTCAAATCAGGTTTGGATAAGAAATTGTCTAGTTGTCCTAGTAGCCGGTAACACAGTAAATTCAAAGGAAAAAAGCAGTGTTGAAGAATTGTATACTAGTGTCCTACAGTTTGGTGATTGTAACAAAGAGGATAAATAGTGGCAATATAACCAGAGAGATAAATATCAAAGAAGGTACAGCTACTGGATGACAGTAACAAGTAAATGAGGGACTCATGGCCAGAACGGGAAGCCCTGTGGATCGATTTCCAAGACTGGTGAGAAGGGGTGTAGAAAAAGAAAGGACCACTGAGAGGATTTCATAAGATATGATGTTAGTAATGCTTTCAATTAAGTCAGTAAGTTGGCAGGGGTGTAGGAGGAAAAGATCAAGACACACTGAAACCTATTCCCAATACAAAAGAGGTTTTACAAGACGTAAAAAATGTGTTAAATGGGAAAGAGAGCCTAGCAAAAGCTTGTTCCTCTCAGGATAAACCAAAAATACCTATTTTTAGTTACAGAAGTGCTTCCTATATAAATGATCATGAATGGTAGGTCACTAACCTTGACACAGGGTTATAAGTACACAGCTGGCTCCCTATAACTTAGAAACCAGCTACAGGGCTCTCTTGGTTTACTCGCCATCATTTGGGTTGTTTACTCAGTACATAGTCAATTCAGTAATGGGAAACGACCAAATCAAGTACCCAACAGATTCTGAACAAAGAAAATGCTCAACCAACTCCAATTTTCCCTTTTTAATGCTGATTGCATTGGTATCAAGAAATCACTCTCAAACTTTCAAATCTATATAGGAGTGATGAAGAATACAAAGAAGCTACAAAAAGCAATAAGAACTAGGGAACTCCAACTTTCAGACAAAGCGGCAATTAAACCCAAACCAGTGGACATTTCTACATCTGGCACATGGAACAGAGGAATGGGGACCAGCCATGGCACAGAACACAACTAATTCCACAGGAAAAAAAGCTTAGAAGTTTCCCCACTGGGACATTCTGCTCTCACTGATATTTCTTGCCCTGGGACAAGGATGGTTCAGACCATTTAACTTTCAAGTTTTACAAACATAGAGAAATATGTGTAAGCATACAGTTGACTTTTTGCTTATTTCTTCTTCTCGTTCTTTATAATTTATGTGTTTGTTTAGCTTTATGCCCTGTTACATTGAGCCCCATTTTTCTAAACTTGGTAAAGAGGGAACACAAAAGAACTTAACCAACAAAAAGAGAGTCCTGTTAAAATTAAGCAATAGCCACTAAAGGGAAGCCTAGCACTATTAACTGATAAGAAATGGCAAGTAGTGCTCCTCAGTGCACACAGATTCTTACATATTTGTATTTTGGTAAAACTAATTTTTTTTAATCTACAAAATATATTATTAAAAATTCTGGGTCTGGGGGCCGGCCCGGTGGTGCAGCGGTTAAGTTCGCATGTTCTGCTTCTTGGCGGCCCAGGGTTCACTGGTTCGGATCCCGGGTGTGGACATGGCACCACTTGGCAAGCCATGCTGTGGTAGGCGTCCCACATATAAAGTGGAGGAGGATGGGTATGGATGTTAGCTCAGGGCCAGTCTTCCTCACAAAAAGAGGAGGATTGGCAGTAGTTAGCTCAGGGCTAATCTTCCTCAAAAAAAACCAGAAAGACCCCCCAAAAAATGACAAAAAAACAACAACAACAAAAACTCTGGGTCTGACTATATAAAAGTCAGAAAACTTTATATTGATAATTATAAGTCTTGCAATTCATATTTAATGTTCCATTCAGAAAGTGTAACACTAGGGAATATATGAAAGACAACTGAAGGAAAAAGAGAAGTGATATGATAATCATCACCTTTTGAGGAACGACATAGCAAGAGATTGATGACGGAACCAGATGGCCTTTCTAACCCAGATTCTGGTTTTATAATTTTATGACTATAATATAGATATTTGCCTTTAATTAAAAATAAGAATCAGATAAGTTATGGGATCAAGATCCTAAAGAAAAGGAGGCTAAAATATATTTTTTAACAATCACAAAACCAAAGACAGTTAAAGAACTTTAGCAAACATTTATGAATGCTTCTGACTTGGTTCACAAAGGAAAACATGATAAAAGGCAAAAAAAATTAAAATGAAAAACACACCCAAAACCAAAGCTTTCTTAAAAATTCACATTTAGCTAATAAGTGACAAAATAATCCCAAAATAATGTTCAAAAAATATTTCTAAATTACAGACCAAATGGAATGCCATGTCATTCACTCAGATTTCAATTCCCTGTAGAACTACCAGTGACCTATTATAATATGAGGGGAATTTTGGTCCCCACTCTTGAGATTAAAATAAAATAGTTAGGGGGCCAGGCCCATGGCATAGTGGTTAAGTTTGGCATGCTCTGCTTCAGTGGCCAGGTTCAGACCCCGGGTGTGGACCTATACCACTTGTCAGCAGCCATAATGTGGCAGCAACCCACATATAAAATAGAGGAAGATTGGGACAGATGTTAGCTCAAGGTGAATCTTCCTTAGCAAAAAAATAATTAATTAAATAAAATAGTTAAAATTAACTCAGTGATAGTTGATCAATTACATTCAAATTAAACAGCATGCCATAACCCATAACAGGACTTCATGGTTAGATTTTTTTCCATAAAAGTAAACTTTGAAGGGAGTGGGCAGGGATCCTTTCATTGAGAAATAGAAAGATACACTTACAGAAGAAATAAAACTACATGGTAGATGTTTCAGCATCTATGAGAGACTGTACACAATGGTCACCTTACCTCCCATCTGCATAGTCTGTATCTGCTCCACCCCACCAGACATCTGAGTCATCTTCCTCTGCATCTGCCGAATCAACATTGTCACTTTCCTCGGCCAGCGGGCAACATACAAACTCCACCCCTCGGAACTTGTCAATTCCACAGGGCAGCAACATGCCGTAGTCATGCAAGTTGGTACTCTTCTCACTGCAAGTCTACAAAAGGAGAAAAGAATGAGAGTGTTAGAGGAGATGTGTTGCTTCACTGTAAGAAAATCCCAAATATAAGAATCAACACACAGACCCAATCTATCAAGAACCAATTTTACAATGGAAAAGATCATTACTTTTTTTTTTAAGATTTTATTTTTCCTTTTTCTCCCCAAAGCCCCCTGGTACACAGTTGTATATTTTTAGTTGTGGATCCTTCTAGTTGTGGCATGTGGGACGCCACCTCAGCATGGCTTGATGAGTGGTGCCATGTCCGCGCCCAGGATCCGAACTGGCGAAACCCTGGGCCTCGGAAGCGGAGCACAGGAACTTAACCACTCAGCCACAGAGCCAGCCCTCTCATTACTTTTTGAGTGGATTTATAAGAGTTTCTTTAGCACAGGCTCCTTTGGTACCTTTATGTTTTAACTTTATTATTTATTTAATAAGGATATGTCATTACTATAGAAATTAATAAAAACAATAGGAATGGAAACTAATTGGGAAGTAAGATGTAGAAGAAGCCTGCACTGTGAACAGATATCAGAGACTCAATGCCTGCTGGCTTCATTAGAGTATCAGGAAGTAGTGATGGCTCCATGTGCATCCCCAACTCACTTCGACCTCCATTACAGATGGAAGCTCCATCTGTAGATGGCAGCTTCTCTCACTTGGACCCATCTTATTCCAGAATTCTAACTCTCTTGGCTCACTTCCAGAATAACAATCTTGGGAAGGGACAAATTTTCCTCTGCTATGAACCAGAACTTCTAGTCATTAGAGATTTCTCCTTCAATATCTTTCTGCTTTCCTGGGATTTGCTAAATTTGCAGAAATCTAGATTAACATAAAGCTCTGAAAGCATCCACTGGTGACAGAGGAAAGATTAATAATTCAACACATATGGGTAAACGATGAAAATATTAGAGTGTATTTTGACCCCATAGGAATCAGAGTCATTTTTGTTTCTCAGTAACGAAGAATTTTTTTTGTTTGAAAACTCAAGAAGTAATGAAAAACGAGATTATCAGATGGGTAGCTGGGCTTTAAATTATTTTGTTTTCTTAAGCTCGATAATCTCTTCAACCTCCAAAATATATTTTTATATGAAGAAAATTTCATTTTACAGTAAATCAGAATATACTATTTTATAAAAGGCAAAAATAATGCTAAATCTTACGTGGTGTTTTCTGTCTAACAGTTTTAAAGCTACAACGGTTAAGCTGAGCTAAATCAGGGTTTCTCAACTTTGACAGCAAGGACAGCTTGGACCAGATAATTTTTGGCTGGGGAGGGGAAGAGGGCCGCCCTGTTCCCTAAAGGATGTTTAGCAGAATCTCCGGCCTCTAGCCACCAAATGCCAGTAGGACTACCGCCTCCAACTGTGACAATCAAAAATGTCTCCAGACATTGGCACATGTTCCTGGGGAGGGATAGGGGGCAAATTGACCCTACTGGAGAACCACTAAGCTAGATAAAGGAGCCTAATTCTAGAAGACTGATCTCACCATAAAAAAGCTATATAAGTTTACTAGAAAAACTTCATAATAGGGCCAGCCCCGTGGCCGAGAGGTTACGTTGGCACCCTCTGCTTCGGTGGCCTGGGGTTTCGCCGGTTTGGATCCTGGCCGCAGACATGGCACCGCTCTTTAGGCCATGCTGAGGCTGCGTCCCACATAGCACAACCAGAAGGACATATAACTAGAATATACAACTATGTACTGGGGGGGAGGTTTGGGGAGAAGGAAAAAATAAAGACTGGCAACAGTTGTTAGCTCAGGTGCCAATCTTTAAGAAAAAAAAAAGGAAAAGAAAAACTTCATAATATATCAAAGGGACAGAGCAGTTTTGAAGGTGGTAATATCAAAAAGTGACATTTTATGCCAATTGTCTTATATCTTTTATCAGCTTTGCCAAAAGCAGGGGTTAGTAAGGGCTAGTAGGATTGGTGCCACAGACTCACCCACAATGAAAAAATGAAGGTGGTAGCATGGCCTGGTGAACACAAAATTGGATGGGTTTTCTTATTGTTGTTTTCACATTGGTGTTGGACAAGCTACTTCCTGTCCTACCTCTGTATTCCCAATAGATTAAAGGAAAAAAGATTAAATTATTAAAATTCCTATGTGATTGGGCTGGCCGTGTGGCTGAGTGGGTAAGTTCATGTGCTCTGCTTTGGCAGCATAGGGTTTCACCAGTTCGGATCTTGAGTGTGGACATGGCACTGCTCATCAGGCCACGCTGAGGTGGAGTCCCATATGCCACAACTAGAAGGACCCACAACTAAAAAATATGCAACTATGTACTGGGGGGATTTGGAGAGAAAAAGCAGGAAAAAAAAAATTAAGATTGACAACAGTTGTTAGCTTAGGTGCCAATCTTTAAAAAAAAAAAAAAAACCTTCATTGTGACAAGAGAAAATAGGTAAATAAAAAATAATTTGAAAAAAAGGTATATTTTAAGGTTTATAGATACTATAAAATTATAGTTTTTAAGTTACAAAACATGGCATAGACACTTAATGACTCTAACTAAATAGGTTCTATATCTTTGACGCCTTAAAAAACACTCATGGATTTTTTTTTAATGATAAATAAAGGAGAATTTATTTATCAGTGCAGTAGTTGTCTCAAAATACCCTCTAAAATGTCATTATGCATGTCCCTAGGAAATCTTTACTTTAAAAGAAGAAAGAGCATATGAGCTGGTACCTCTTTGGCGACGGTGTGCCAGTGAAGGTGGGTTTCACAAACATCCATCCTTTCCTGGTGTAGGAATTTGCACTTGTCGGGAACAAGGAGGGCATCGCTTACAAACTCGCCAACTGCAAGAAAGGAAAAGCCTTCATGTTATTCTGCCTGGATCACAGTGGTCTTAGCAAGGAAAGATAGGCTAAAAAGACTTCAGAGAAGTTATACAGCTTTCTGAATGACAAAGTCATCAATCCAAGTAAAAAACAGATTGACATTCCTAGGTAATCATCTGAGCAGAATCAATATAAACTATTGTCTACCCCTCCGTACCGGACATTTTAATGTTTGTAAACTAATAGAAATTTTAGCATTTTTGTACTTTGTAAACAGAAATCTATATATGCACATATGTGTATTACACATTTATGTTATATATACAAAATACATACACATAGAGAGTTTAATTCAATTAAATTATAAAAAGTGATCCTTAGACTTTTGCTATATTTTTAACAAAAATGTATAGTATCATGCAAATTATTGCTAACATTGCTGGTACTGCAGATACAAAGATATTATGTAAAGTCCTACATAAACTCACATTCTAATGAGAGTGAAAGAGGGATAATTACAAATAATATGTAAGCTGCGAGTTTAATTTTTATTTGTTTGTTCAATACAGTATCCTCAGCTCTTAGCAGAGGTTCTGCACATAGCAGGTAATAAATATCCTGATGAATGAAGAAGTTAAAGCTATCATAGAGATGAAGAAAGTGCTGGGCCAACATTGTGAACAAATCTGCTTGGGTGCACTGGGAAAGACCTCAAAGCAGAAACAACACTAGAGATGAGTCATGAGCAGGAGTACGTCATGTACGAAATGAAAGAAAGTTCCAAGATGTAAGGACAGTATCTATCTTGTTTAACCTTCTACTCCTAATCCCTGGCCCAGTTCTGGAAGACAGGAACATACTGGATGGATGGATGGATGGATGGATGGATGGAAGAGTGGAAGGATGGAAGGATGGTGAAAGGCACTTCAAAATGAGGGAAGCTCCTGCGCAAAGAGAGAATAAAGAAAGAGCAAAGCTTATTTGCAGAAGCAGCAGAAATCCACTGTGGCTGAAACACAAGTTAAGTGGAAAAGAGGCTCCAGAAGCAAATGATACCAGAAAATACATTGGACTCCAGTTTTAGAGCCTATGGTCTTGCTAACCACTTTGGGGACAACATAGGTCAAAAGATTTTGTAAACAGGAATGACATGCTCAAGTTTGTTTTTCAGATATACTCTTTAATCAAGAGAAGGATGGACTAGCACAGTGAGATCATGAAAGCTGGGAGACACTGAGGAGGGCACTGCAATCCCTCAGGCAAGACATGCAAGAACAGATTTAACCCAGAGACTCCAAATAAGCAAGAAACACAAGATGTCCACACACCAGCAAAGTCAAGAATTTATTTTTGTCTTTTATAGTGTGCTACATGAAATTTTCTGAAATGCAACATAAAGAACAACATAGGCCCTAAAAAGGGGAAGAAAAAACCTCTTCATTCCCTTTATACAAAAGGTTCTTTAAAACTGTCTTTCTGTAAAGGTATTTAAACTTTAAGCTATTTCTAGCTCAAATATGTAACATGTCTCATGCTATTTAGTATCTACTTACAAATAAATTTAGATAAAATAACATTTAGGTAAAAATCTAAGCAAATCATAGGGGATAAAGAGCCTCTCATCTTGTCCTTCCTTAAATTTTTAAGACAACTGATGATGCCCACGGCATTTTAAGTTATAGAGAATGCAAGAATTATGAGACATGGTGCCCCCAAGGACTGTGGGTGGTGCTTGGTGGGGAAGGAACCCCTGAGCCCCGGGCACCGACTCCTTGGCAGCGGCTGGTGCTCCACGTGCTGGTGCTCCATGTGCATCGCTGTATCTCAGCTCCACAACAGCTGTGTGATGGATCTCTTATACTCGAAACCTCACTTCCCAGGTAAGAAATGTGCCCAAGGCCACCTATCCTCGGGAGATGATAATCCAGCCCCAGAGATAAGGGTGAGGATATAAATTAGCAGGAAAGAAATAACATAATAATGCAAGTGATGTTACATTTTTCTTTTTCTTTTATATAGAATACTATAAAACAAAATGAAACCAAAAAAACCAAACTAAAACCCAGATGAGTTGGAGAATAGAAAATAAAAATAATCTCATCCAAAATCAATACTCTTTCTTCAGGTGGGCTTTTCATGGTTTCTCAGGACAGACGATCAACTGTAGCCAAGAACACGTGATACTTCCAGCATCCTAATTTTCAAGGCCACAAGAGGCCAGAGGTGACCAAGGGGCCTGAGGGTACCTACCTCATTTATTAGCTCTGGTTAGTCAAGCCATATCGCCATATTTACAAATGTCCGAAATATTAAGTGATGTTTTTCTATTTTACAGGTAATTATTGGAAAGATTAAGTGCCTGGCCCAAGGCTTTCAACTCAGTTCATGAGACAATCAGGAGCAGATATCAGATACTCTCAACCCCGGCCTAGAGTTCTCGTGGCATAAACTGAATAATAGCTGCCAGACAACAATGTGTCTTGTTCTACTTGCCCTCAGGCCAAACTGCAGAGGACTAGATTTTAATGCAAAGCTAAAGTCACTGAAAGATATTTACCTAGGTAAAATCCAATGTTCACCAAAAGGATAAGTATTGCATTAATTTATAAAAGGCTATTTGAATTTTTTTTAATTGGCAAAGTGACATTTCATTTCGCATTGTACAGATGCTCTTAGGTTTCTAATGTTGCACATAGCCAAGAAATACACGCCCCCAAATGAGACTGCTTTTTGAAAGGATTCATACTGGTTATTTAATAAGCCCTCAGGACTAATGGCAAAATAGAAAACTCATTGTACTCTAACATTAAAATAAAATTTAGCAATGACTCTGTGGTTTCACAGCTCTGCTTATATTACTTTTAAAATTGATGAAACATACTAGAATGCTATGCATCAGAAATTTCAAGTACTCAAACCACAAAAATCTGTTTAAAAACTTTTAATAAAGAATTAAAGAGGAGAGGTAAAAATATAATGAACCCATAAACCAGTTTTAGCTTAATTCTTCTTAACTCTAAAAGAATTATTTTTAAAAATCTATGATATGACAGGAGACATATGGGAACTTTCTGTACTTTCCACTCAATTTTGCTGTTAATCTAAAATTGCTCTAAAAAAGTTTTTTAATTAAAAAAAATCTGATAGTATGTACCTAGCTTCCACATAGAACCATGAGCACTTCTATTTTAAAAACAAACCTTTTGTTTATTTGGTTTGATCCTTCAGGTAAAAAAATTCTTAACAGAATTCAAGTGAAAGAGACCAAAACAAAGTATCATGAGAAATCATGTTCCTGTTCATGCCAAAGTTTAGGAAATTTGGCACCACTTAATCGTGGTGGATAAATTCATTGATATACACTGTGCATATTTATTGATAACCATACAACCTGGTTTCTTGTTTTAAAAATTCACAGTTTATATCACACACACACACATGCTCCAATTGAAAAGGAATTTTCAAAACCAATGAACAAGATCTGGGTTTGGCTCCTTGGCTAAAAAATCTTGGCAAGGTGAACAATGATGCTGAACTGAATTGGGACTCTGTGGGCCTCAATCCACTGGCTCCTTGGTGGTCTTTGAGAGAACTATCTCGCTCAAATTACCTCATTTTGCAGACAGGAGGAAAAGAACCAGGTCAGGTGGCTTGCCCATAGAGCCAACTGGCGATAGAACCGGCCTGAAAATCTGGGTCTCCAGGATCTCCATCCAAGAGTGGTAACTCAACTCACTGTCATTTAAACTCTGGGCGAAATGCGTTTTTTGGCCAATTCCCTTTGGCTTGTATAAAGATAGATTCACTTTTAGATTATAAAATGCTTTAATGTTATAATCTACAATGCAGTCAATTTGACAATAACGTTAGACTGAAATTAGCTAGTGAGCCACATATAAAACAGTCGGGAATGCATTCCGCTCCATGGAATAGAACACACGATAAAGTGGCTTAAAGACATAATGGGACTCTTTCTTTCACAAAAAAGAAGTCTGGTACTGAAGCTGGGGCTGCTGCAGATATTCGATGAGGCCGCCCGGCATCAGGCTAATACTTCCTGCACTGCCATCCTTAGAATGTTGGCTTTGTTCTCATGTTTTGTGGTCAAAAAATGTCCACAGAAACTTAAGACTCCATGTCAATTCCAGGCAGGAAACAAGAGGAACAGGCCAAGGGATGTAGGTTCTGTTTGTTTTTTACCCTAATGAAGCTCTGTTGTTTCATATGGGAAGAATGCCCTCTCCATTATCTACATCCTATATGCCATTACCGTGTTAGCTGGCCACATTTAGCTGCAAGGGAATCTGCAAAAGTATTTTCAGCTGAGCACACTGTCATCAGGAATGAAAAAATCTGGGATTCTCTTAGAAAGGAAGAAGTGGGAACGAATATTCAACAGGCAGGTAGCAGAGTCTCCCACACTATGAAATTCAAAGGTAGGAATGTGATTTTCAATTTCTTTATGTTGCCTTTCCAAAAGACGGATGACTCCAGGAAGAGGATGGAATTAGGAGCATAAAGTGCTACATCTAAAACAAAGGGACCTGAATCCACGGCACAGAGAGAAATGGGAGAGGAGAGAATGTTACAGCAAAGAGCAAAATTTCTCACAATTGTGACTGCTAAATATTTGAGAGTCAGAGTGGGATTGAATCGATTGATTAAAAGGTTCCAGATCCATACATAGGTACTTCAAGGCACAGAGATCTCAGATTTTAAAAATGATGATTCTACGACCTTGCGAGGACTAAAGTGGTATTGACCAGAATCACGGGAATGAAAGGGCCAAAAATGTCTGAGGTCTATGGATTTCTGCTAATGGCATGTCCTCCCTTTCTTGTTCCTCAAGAGTTAACAAAGACTCAGGAAAGGGGTGTGGGGGGCAGAGGTAAGAATGTTCTAGCAATGGAATTGTAGAATGGCAAAGCCTCAGTTTCCTTCCTTGTGGCATACTCTACTATGAGAGATGAGACACGGACCAGAGCTGGCTCTCGAAGGTAAGATGTTGATAGTTTCAG